AAATCCAAAATAAGACATACAGCTGTATAAAAATTCAGTATATAAAATGATACTGCTCCTTGCTGCCTTATGGCTTCTTAAGGCAATACTTTGTTTTCTTTTATAAGGGTTTCCCTACATTATTACAGGAGTAGTTTAAGAACCATTCTACTCCATTCTAATAACAAGGGGTATTACTCATTTTGTCTTTGTAAAAATAACTCTATACATGCATTTATAGTGTATGGACTTTAGAAAAATAGAATCTCCACTTCATTATTATAGTCAAAATGGAACACTTAGCAGCAGGGGCACACAAACTTTGGATGTAGACATACCTGAGTTCAAATTTCTACCCTGTCACTGATTAAGTAGCCATAAGATGGGTAATGTATTTCAGTAAAACTCCTTAACCTGCCTAGGAAAATGAAACTAATTCTGTTAACTCAGAATTACATGAAATAATATAAGTAGGTTCTTAGCATAAATTTGATTTTTAATAAATGCTGTCTTTTAAGGTTGTAATTTACCCCATATTAACCACACTACCACTAAATAATATTCAATGACTGCACGTATAAACATCTGATTTCAAGTATAAACTTCAGATTTAGATGACACTCTTCTTCTGATTAAACATTAATGTCATTCATATAATGCAGAACCAACCAATCCACAGCAAAGGTTATCCCAAGCTCTTCAGTGGGCTCTTTGAGATCACACTGCCTTCCTGTGTTCCCTTCTTTCAGACTCTTCTCTGAAGATATGAGAGGGGTATGGTGTTAGTGGTTGTGTGCCATCAAGCAGGTTCTGACTCATACTGACCCTGTATAGAGTTTCTGAGGCTGTAAATCCTTATGGGAGCAGAAAGTCTCATCTTTCTCTATCAGAGAGGCTGGTGGACTCAAACTGCTGACCTGGCAGAGGCCATGTCACCAAGTGGCAGAGCGGCAGAGAACCCTAAACATGAAGGCTCATTGTTAAGCAAGGCCACAATGGGTCTCCCCTTGGAAGGCAAGGCCCCAGGAAGAATCTCATCTGGGGACTCTGCAGTAGATTCTGTCTCTTTATTTTAATCAGCTTATTTTTAATTTTCTTGATTTTATAATAAAAGTTTTCAGTAGAATCTTAGTAATAATTATATTAGAGATTTGAAACTTGTTTTTAGGCACGTTCACTCCATATTCAATCATGCGTAGCCCTAAAGAATGCTTTTCACACTAACAATAGGTTTCACCACTAGAAAAAACCAGCTAAAGTTTTTGCCAGTCCAAGTTTAAGATTACATTCAACATTCCATGTAGTTTCTGTCAGGGACATCAAGACCTCTAGAAAATTAGCCAAAATGCAATTTAGGGCTAAGGGAATAGTAATAGATCATAAGCAGAAATTTAACTAGATGTTTTGTATAGGGAAGTTTTTATAAGTAAGTTGTTCTGTTTCTTCTTAACTACAAAACTTTAAATGCTTCTTGTTTTTCTTGTTTAATCAATCATGAGAAACAACTGTGTTGTCAGTTACCATAACAAATAATGTTTAGGTACATGATGTGATTAATGAATCTATAGGAAATAATAGGTGAGGGTAGAAATAGGAGTTAAGATTTAGAATTATGTTTTAAGGTTAACATGATGACATTTTTAGAACAATGAGGTTTGCTTACAGAAATCAGATATTGTCTAACTACGTAAAGGGGAACAAGGAAGATTTTGATGCTCTTGATGTTCTATATTGAAATGATTAATAAGCATGATTTAGACCACTACTTTGAAAAGAATGATTAATAGATTGATGGTATAGAGTAGTATAAAAGCTGTTTGAGAATCTGAAATAAAAGGAAAAAGAGGAGAAATGAAATGTGAGAGAAGACTCACCATTCATCGAGACCCACTGATTATGTGCTTCATTTCTTCGCCGACGCCATACCTCCCTCCAAGGACCTCCTAATAAGAGTGTCGGGGCTGGTTCCCGGCACTGACCTAGTGGTTGGCAGCCTAACATCTCATTGATCTTACTCTCACAAGTTTGCAATCTATTTGTGAACACAGAATGCAGGCAGACAAACCGTCAATGAGTAGAAATGATGTCTGGAGTTCCAAGGGGCATTCAGACAAGGTATATTTTTGGTAAACAAAAGCCTCCAAAAAAGTTTGGTAAAAGGAGTAGGTTCTCCTGATTGTACTACACTTGGGATGGAGGGAAAAGAAGAATCAATCCTGACAATACACCCAGGTGGGTCACGTGGATAAATTTGGCAAATTTTTAAAGATGAACACTAAAGAAAGAGATAAATAAAAGGCAGAGTCTTAGTCCCTACTGCATATACCATCTGGTTAGGATGCTTCTAAACTAATGAGGAGGGTAAAATACAACCCAATTCCACACAGAGAGAAGCCTAAGAAGTAGTGTGTATTGAGGATCAAAAATATGTATCGTATTAATTGCTGAAATGAAATTATTGCCCTAAAATGACTGAATATGAAATTAATATATATTATGAAAGATTTTATCTCCAAAGTTCTTGTGACTGAAGAAGGACAGGCATCTACAGTAATTTAAAGATTAGTTAGGTTTCTGTGTTTGTTTTCAGTAGTAGGAACAAATGACTTTTTAAAGTGCTATTGGATTTCCACAGAAATCAGCTGGAGGAACCACAAGTTCTACATATGACTTTACTCGGTATGAAGACTGATATTTGGAAGTCATTTAATTTTACATTTTCACAGTAATATAAAGTTTGTTACTAAAAGATTTGAAATGTAAATATGAGAAAAGCAAATATAATGAAAAGTAAATATGAGAAAACCAAATCACTTACACGTAGCACACTATACAATCAAGTTTCACATTTTAAAGTGTAATAAGCAAAATGTTCCTGTGAGAACTTTATGCATTCTATTTCCAGAAGTTTTCATATTCTTAAATAATATAAAAAATCACTGATATTTGCTGCATGTATTTTATACGGCAGGCTTTGCTGCATCATGATAACAGAGTAGTAAGTTACAAAGTCAATTCAGGTTTCGGATCAAGCATTGAACTCTGTGATCTCTAGGTCAGGCATTTTCCATGAGCATTGGGGCACACCATCAGATTCATATGTGATGAAACAGCAATGACCTACAGGGAATGTTTTCAAAGGAAATTGTCTTGGACTTCTAAGCAGATTCTTGAAATGAACACACACATAAACATACATATATGTACCCACACACAAATACATGCACACTCATCCCCTTTGTGATACTATTTTAACTTGCCAATGTATCTAAAGTTGTATTAGCCAAGGACCATTAATATGTGTTTTGTTATTTTGTTCCCTGAACATTGTCACATTGTCATATTAAATTAAAGCCCAGACAGAAACATCCAATTAAACCGCAGGCAAAAAAAAAAAAAGCATTACTATGCCAAAGTTCATAAGCAGTTTAATGTAGTAATACCTTGATCATTATCCTCAGTGGTTCAGTCCTTTGCACAGTGTGCTTAGAACTGGAATGTCTATTTTAAGTCCCCTTAATGATCTCTTTCATAGATGAGATCAAATGTAAAAATCACTCCTCTTTTGGATGACCAAATGATCCATTACCTTTTACTGAGAAGAACAGAGAAGGAAAGACATACATAGAAAGAAGGAATTACGCATCTCAGATTAATTTTTCTCATCAAAGGAGTTTCTGGGATTTAGTCATAGCAACAGGTAAGATATTGAACTCAAAGCTGGTTGTTGTGTCCAGTTTACCACAAAAAGTTTGAACCAGAGATGATTAAACCCCACAGAGCATCTTAACCAGAAGTCAGCAACTTCTAGCCAATTTATCAGGCTGCAGTGAACACCCTTTGGCTATTTGCTGCCTGCAGAAATCCTCACAAAGCTTAGAAGCATCTTACCTTAATGAGAATCTGGATGGACCCTGTGGCTTTTGCAGATATGAAATACCAGAAGCTCAGGGTGCAGGCAGTGCTGGATTCCTGCCACATGGCACTCTTCAGGTGTGCTTTCTCCCCCCGAAGGCCCACAGGTGTAGCCTCCAGATACAAGAAGTGCCCTACAAACAAAGATGGGATTCAACAATGAGGGCATTATTTTTGCCTTTCCATCTTTGGGTTTTAATTACATTTCATATGATCTGAGCTGCCAAAGGCATTTCCATTTGAAACAGAAAGGAAATCTAATAGCCTTGCCACCAGCTCATTTCTGAACAATTTCCAACTGTCTGTGCTTTTAGCAAAGTATTTTGCAGTGTGCAGATTAATTGATCTGACAGAGTATTTATGCCATCAAATCAATGAAATGGTTATAGAATCATTCCATGAACTTTCCAAACTATCCAGTTATTGTCAAATAATGCAACAACTATTTAGAATTCAAAGGAAGGAATATACATACTTTCAGTTATCTGTTGAGCATGTAACTAAAACATCTAGCATTCTGATATGCAACGTGAGAGAAAATATATTTATTTTATACTTGCTTATTCAAATGTTGTTGTTGTTAAGTGCCGTCGAGTCAGTTCCGACCCATAGCGACCCTGTACAGGGTTTCCGAGGGTGTAAATCTTTACGGGAGTAGAAAGCCTCATCTTTCTCCCGCGGAGCGGCTGGTAGTTTCGAACCGCTGACCTTAAGGTTCGCAGCCCGATTCGTAACCACTACGCTACCAGAGCTCCTAGCCAAAGAATTTCTTCTACATGGAGCAGAGTATTTGAATGGGATTCAGACTCTGACGTGGTTATCCTGACTTAGTTAGATTCACATCCTTATAGAATTTCAGTATTTAGACAATTTTTCTGGAGCATTCAGAAATTCAGGTTCATTTCTGCATTGTGCTGGGAGCCCAGGTGACACAGAGGTTAAAGCACTTGGCTGCTAACCAATAGGTCAGCAGTTTGAACCAGCAATCACTTCCGGGAGACAGCTATGAACAGGAAGTGACTGGGCATGCAATTATATCTGCACTATGCTAACATCTTTTGGTCTTTGAACAGTAAGTCTGAAACTTCACTTTAGCAACTTACATAAAAAATGAGCCAGGTCAAACACCCTAAATATGGATAGTTGCATTTGCTCAGCATCCTTAGTTCACAACCTGCTTTCCCTTCGTATACATTTCACTTGATCTCCACAAGGCTATTTGGTACACAGGGAAACTTTTGAAAGATGAGAAATTTAAGAATTTGAAAAAGTTAAATGACTTGCTAATGATCAACTGAGTGGTAGGATTCGGAGTTACTGATAATTTTTTTTTGCATATAGGGATGATACTTGGTGGCAGAATACATTTCATTTATTTATCAGTCGTTAATATTAGATTTTTATTACTCACAAATGTTTGATTTACTTGCAGAGGTACCATGATGGTCTGTCTCTCCAGGGTTCCCCCATTGCTCTTATGGGGGGAGGTGGTCAGGTTGGGAAGAAACAATGATGATTGAGGATAAGATTAGAGCAATTGTAACAAGCTAATAACCCACAACAACCTACCATTTTCATTTTCAAGTGTGTGGTCTTTGGGAGGTCTTAGGCTTTGATGAGCGCCAACCCCTAGAACCCAATCAAAGTTTTCAGCCAAGGAGTTTTTCCAGCCACACCAGCCGTTCTCAAAAGTGCAGGAACTGCCACATTCATTTTCATCAGTACTATCGCCACAGTCATCCACAAAATCACAGCTTTGCTCCAGCATGTAACATTTGCCATTCTGACATTCCCGATAACCATGCGGGCAGTAACCTAAAGTAAAACAAAAGAAAAGAAAAATAAGAGAGAGAGAACGAAAGAAGAAGAATGAAGGAATGTTACCAACACATTCATTGAGGTCAAAAACCAGTTCTTTTCATTTAGCTTAAGTTTTGTTTTAATACATAAAGGCAATAGTAATGGAGTGAGTTTGGGGTATCTTCTATTCTCTCTTCTCGAATCACCTCTGGGGTTCTGTTCTAAGGATCACTCAGAAAGATTACTCACAATGGAGGGGCGGGGTGAAGCATCATTTTACTGATCAAGGAAAGTACCCCCGAGTTTCCCCAACTGTAGCATTTCATTTAAGCTGTGATGAAGAACTACATTAGATCTGACTGCTAAAGTAAGGAGTTCATTTTTCATCCTTTAGGTTCATTTGGGCCCATGGATTATGAAGCACTTACAAGTGCACTCTTTCAGCACACACTTACTGCTATAGTTATAAGAAACCAAATATACACAGGACTCCTGGTGTGGTGCTGTAGGATAAGCACTAGACTGCTATACACAAGATTGATAGTTGAAACTCACCAGTTGCTCCTCAGAAACCCTTTACAGAATCTCTTAAGAGTTGGAACTAACTCAACAGCATCAAACAATGGCAACAACAACAACACTTCCTCCGAGGCAGGGCAAGGACTGTATTAGCAATGGTGGACTTCTCAAGACACGTTTCTCTAACATGTATACTTTTTACTGCTTATAATTTTGGAAGCAATTCCTTTGCAAGACAATTCTAACCATGTTCGCAAACTCTGAGAGATCACAATGCTTTTGGTCACAGAGAATCTGAGTTTTCACTTGATAAATAATCATAAACAATGATCATAATAAAGCTTATTACTTGATAAATGAATGAAAAAGCACAAAATCCTAGAAATGTTAAAATAGTTAAAAGAGAATAATGTAGATATCACCAATGTCTAGAAGAGAGTGTAACTCTTGGTAGGCAGTCAGTAAATATTAGTTAATTAAATCAATGAGAAAAAGAAATTGCTTGGGAAATGCTAAAGCAGTTCAGCATGCACAAAGTAGTATTATTACGCTGCTTCACTCAAACAATAGGACACCCATCATGAGTTGTCACGGATTCAGCTCTTACTCATGATGGGTGTCAGAGCGCAAATTAGCTCAATAGTGTTTTCAATTGCTGGGGGTTTTTTGTTGTTGTTTTGAAAGTAGATCCCCAGGACTTTCTGCTAAGGAACTCTGATGGATTACAACCTCCAACTTTTCAGTTAGCAGCTGAGTGCATTAACCATTTATACCACCCAGGAATTCCATTAGAGGTAACAGCATTTCAGTGTGAAAACTTGTTCAGAGACTCAACTGGGAATATCAGATGCATAGTCACTCTTGACACTAGAGGATCAGAGATTTTCTTTCTTTCAGTCTTTGCCATCTGTCAAGCAAGGAACTGATAACAGCACTCCCTTCCTCACATCATAGATGGTAGCTCCTATGACCTAGCAAGTTATCTGGTGGCTAAGAGTCGGCATAGTTTAGAGGTAGGAGGTGATCTAATGGGGATTTGTTGTAAGGTGCTCTGAAAACCTTATGTAGAAGCTCTGAAGTCCTGGATCATTCCCAAATTTTAGCCTGTAGATGGCCAAGAAGGAAGAAGAGAGCATTGATGAATAATGGAATGCCATAAGGAATCCATTATGGAGAAAACTGACGTTCTCAAGGCCCTGAGTTCTTTAATGTTCTGAGTGCTCCTGGACTGTTTGTTCCAGGTTTCCTAATTAAATGTGCTTTCCCATTGAAAAAACTGAAAAAAAAAACACCTTTCAACCATGCATTCTGCCTCCGCCAATATTTCTTTACCTGGATTAATTGACAACACTTTTATTTCATACAGCATGAGTATAAGCTATTTTTTTAATTAGTTGTTCACATCAGTTTAGCTTCAGTAGACTGGGAGAAAGAGAAAAGACCTTTAGCTTCAATTACAGAGACTGATTCAGAATTGTGACATATAAGCATTTTTTGAGTTTGACAAGAAGGGTGATCACTTACATTGATCACTACAGATTTAAAGTGATTTACTTATTAAAAATACTGTTGTTCCCAGTTGGTTGAGATTTCAATATGGTTGAGGTTCTTGTTAGAGTAATAGCAGATTTCTTTATGTGTTAACTAGATGATATTTACTAGCTGTAGACCCAGTCCATAATCAGAAACAAGCAGAATATGGATCTTAATACTATTTCTGGAGACTCCATCTTCATTTTTACAAAGAGTGTCAATCCACATACATATTCAAACACCATTTTGTTTAGTCTTCATCAGCATGACATGTACACACACAAAAAGTGTCTACTCATTCAAAACATTTTTCCAGAAAGAACGGTCCTTGTCTCAACTTTTTAAATTGCCTACATTTAATGCCAAATATTTAAGAAATTATTGTGCATGAACATGAAACTAATTCTAATTCTGTATTGGAAGTGCACTCAAACAAGCTATTCTAAGGCACTTGTAGAGATAAGTGTTCTTAGTGATCCCAACCTAGAGCAAAGTCTTACTGCCTTGATGGTGAACAATTTGTAATATAAAGAGGTTTGATCATTTAAAAAAATCAACATATTGATCTAGAGATAAATCTCTAGAACAAAATCATTTAGGAAATTATATTTTGTACTTTTGTGTAGTCAAATTGTTTAGCCATTCATTTTAAGTCTTCCATAATTCACTATTAGATAAGATTATTCCATAGTATTGTGTAGTGCTTTATGATTTCAATTATTAAAGAATAATACTACACAGAAAAACATACTATCCATATACATGCATGTACTCATGCACAAACACACATATGCTGGTGCATTATTGAACGAGTCTTGAAAGATAGATTAGAACTTGTTGATGATGATTTCCTCTGGAAACGAGCGCAAGAGGACAAAAATCAGAAGCAAATTTACATTTTACTCTATTTGGATAATGTTGTTGTTAGGTGTCATTGTTCAGAACCACCTAATAGCAACCTTATGCACAACAGAACAAAACACTGCCCAGTCTTGCACCAACCCTAAAATCATTGCTACCCTTGAATCCATTGCTGCTACCACTGTGCCAAGCCATCTTGCTTGGATAATACTCTGTGTATTTAAATAATATTTGTTTTATGTAAAACATGGTAGCATGAGGCCAGAATATGACCCTGAGCATGGCAGGAATTCATCACAGGATAAAGAAAGAGTTGAAGTAAAATCATTATTGCAAAGTGCAGGACAGGATGTGGCACTTTTGGTGAGTATTAATTTGGAATGAGTGGCAAAAATGTTGACCGTACACTAGACACCATGGTTTATTAGAAGTGAGAGATTGAACAATCTTCATCTCAGACAGCTATGAAGAAAGCATTGAAATAAAGACAGATTCAACTTATAGTTTAAGACATGCTCTGTGAAAATACTCCTGGCACATTTATAGAAGTACAATAAAAGAAGGTAACTAGTGAAAAAGAGAAATAACGCAGCAGCTATCCTAAAGCTCTGCTTTTCTCTCATTTTCCATCTTTAATCTATCAATAACATCATTCCACTTTACCTCCTAAATTTCTTTTCAATCATACACTTCTCTAAAGGATATCAACTTATTCAAATTTCTTCCTCAGTCAATGCATTAACTATCTCATTGGTTGCCCCTTTGTCCACTTTGGTTTTCCTTTCATTTATATCCTACACTGGAGTCAGAGTGAGTGAGGTTTTAAAATATAAATCTGATCACCACTCTCCTTAAAAATCTTTAATCCTCTTATAAACCCAAAACTAAACTTGTTGTCTTAAAGTCAACTCACAGTGACACTGCGGAAGAAAGGTGGGGCAATCTGCTTCCTTAAAGATGATAGTGTCCTGAAAGTGTCCTTGAGGAAAGCCCCATAGAGCAGTTCTACTCTTCAACATATGGTGTTGCCACGACTTCTTACCACAGTTAGGGTAAAGATCAAGCTCCTTCAGACAATGCAGAAATGACCCCAAATCTGGAGCTATTCATGTTTCTAAGTCTTGTATATCATGCTTACCGACCCTCAGCAATCTGCCATAAACACATGACCTTCTTGCAACTCTTCTAAACACAGAGACTTTACTCATGCTTTGCTGTCTCATCCAGTACACTTTATCTTTTTTGAAAATCTTGCAGATTTCAACTCAATATCCACTTTCAAGAATAAGAATATTGTATTGCCTTAACTGTTCAAATCCCTCTATTCTAGCTTTATTCGGCACACTATTATTATTATTATTTAGCACATTAATAAAATTAGTATGTTGCATTA